AAAAAACATAATCCGTTTTGTTAGTATTTAAAGTTTTCAGAGATATACCACTTCCGGTAGCTAAGACGTTTCTTTTGATATGAAGTAGTTTTCGTATTATATGTTGATATTTAAATGATTTTCCACCTTTAATTTGAGTGTGTGGTAAATAGTGACGTTTGTGAGCGTTTATTGTAAGCAAAATCTTTTTATAATTCTGTAAATCTCTTTGAGTGTAATTTAAGGGTTTTAAATGGAATACTAATTCAAACAATCCGGGAGTTATTTTCCATTTTTTACAACCAATATTCATTGTGTTATCAGAGTTGAACTTTAATCTTTTATTTCCGAATCTCCATTTACCATGGCTATCTACATTATAACCATAAATTGTATCTAAATGCTTATTATCTTTGAGTAATAGTAGATTTATCGATAAACGAGATTTATTTGGAGAATTAATTCGAATCTTTTTATCAGATGATTTAACACGTTTTCTCCGTTGTTCAATTGGGTTTTGCTTTGGCGTTTTCTCAAAAATACATGTGATGTTTTTTTACGCTTATGCTCAAAATCAAAATCATCATTAGTGTATTTGAGTTTTAAAGTGGTTTGTACATTAACACGTTTTCTATCGTTATTCAATTGTGTTTCGCTTTGTCGTTTTCCTAAAATTGCGATCCTAAAAAAATGCGATAGTTTTTTACGCTTATCCTCAAGATTATTATCAACAGCATTAGTTTTACGTTTTTTGCTTAGTTTCAAACGTTTTATCGCACCCACATTTACACCGCCACGTTCTGCTGCAAAGTCAGTATCAACAGCAATCATTTTTTAGGTTACCTTGAAATGTGTTTTATCCAGACATAGTGAAAATTTGAAATGTCTTCCAATAGTAGAAGATTGATATGGTGAAATGTTTCTTCTTCAGAACGATATTATGGTCCTATGATAATATCTCTGTCTGCATCTAGACCGTACACGTTTACTCTTATATGTGGATTATTGTTTTCGAAGATTTTAATTTCGTTTACTGACATTGGAAAATTTAAATCTTTAAAATTAAGCACAATGTCATTTTTGTTTGGTGCGATTTTAATTCCAATAAACACTGTACTTCTTCTTTTAACAACATGTGTTTACCGAAAAGTTCACAATTAATTTTAATACTTTTATGTTCTCCGAGGGCATTTGTTGTTATATGATAAAATTAATTTTCAATTGAATTAAAAAAGTTCATCGGTATTAAATCATTTTTATTCGAGTTTTCAAATACATAAGTTGTAATACGACCATCGAAAACCGAGTTTATACATTTTATATTTGAATGTGCATATATTTGTTTCTTTTATTGATTTTTGTTTATGTACATTAGTTCGCAAATGAAAGTTCCATTTCGACGATAAAACACATTCTTCACAAGCAACACAATAAGTATAGTGTTCAATTGTTTCAGTGTTTGATTGATGTTCAAATCGCTTATGCTTAATATGTTTATCACCAGATTAAATTTAAGATCACATAAATCAAATTTAAAGTAATTGCAATTATGTTGCGATCGGACATGTCGCTTCAATGCACTAAACACCCGAACTCCCTTTCACATATTTAACAAGGATAATACATTTTTTTCTTTATTTAATTTATTAGTTGCAGTTATAATGTTCTTCTTCAAATTTTAAATAAAACTAAAGCGATTCTACAAGTATCCATCTGCTTTTATTATAATTCACAAAAAAATTAAATTTTTTATTTTAATTTTACTTATTTTTATTAAAAAAAAAATTATAATTAAATTTTGAATACATCTTTTTTGTAACATTTTATGTTC